TAATACAAGTTTAGTAAATAAAGTTACCCGCACTTAATTGCAAAAATTAAAACTTGGTTTTAATTTTTGCAATTAAGTGCGGGAACTCAAAAGAAAATTCTTTTCTTTTGAGTTCCTGCATTAATTAAAATTCTTTTCGGGAACTTTTTTTTTTAAGACAAAAATTTTAATTTTTTTTTTTGCTTTGCAATATTTCGGCTAGATTTAGTCCATGAATGTTGCACAAAACTTTGACACTTATCTTTTTAAACTATTTTTAAACTTTTTGACACTATGCTTTTTAAACTGTAATTCAACAATAAGTTTAGCTAGTTTTGCTGTACAGTTGTTGCTACCCTGGATAGAAAATAAGGGATGAATATAACTTTTATTGTTTAAAAACGTTAAGAAGCGACTAAATCAAGCTTTTTCATTATTACTTCTTTATACTCTCAAAGCTTCAGTAGTTCAAATTAAATGTGGAACAGAGGTAGAAAGGTGAGTTTTTGTTCTTGTTTGATCGTTTCACTAATAACGAATTCGGTATGTAAGGCTGAGCCTTTTTTAGTAAAGCCAATCTGAAGAGGATGAGCTTTTTTTATTTCTGATTATTAAATCAAGATATTCATTTAATTTTGTAAAGATTAGTATGATGCTTACGATAGTTATTTAGATCAACTAAAGACTTTTTATTTGATTTAGTGGTATCATAAGTGATGTAGACATTAATTTTGGGGTCCGTCCATGATTAATAGAAAAGTTAAAGAATTTTCTGAGCCATTCTGTTAGTGTTTCACAACTCGCATTCTTTTCATTGTTCTTCTAAAATTCCAAAGCAATGTTTTTTCAAGATTCGAAAGACATCCTTGGACTTGATTAATTTTAGGCGAGAAATAGCCGTTTTTATATTTTCATCTGATGTTGTTAACTCGTTAAACTTTGTACACGGTGGAGCTTTAAAATTTGTAGAGTTATGTGTGATTACTTTAGTTTTTAAGGTGGTACTCAGCCAATTTTTTGGTAAAAAATAAAAAAAAAATGAAAAATTTGAAACAATGTTATTTAGACAATTTAACCTTGTAGAATTCAATAGTAAAAATATTTTTTTCAAAATAATTTTAATTGTGTGATTACTTTAGTTTTTAAGTGGTTTTTTAAAACTGTTAGCAAATTCTTTTGTATTTGAGTCTTTATCTTTTTTGCTGTTTATTGTGTAAAGTTATGTTAATTACAGAAATAAACTTTTTAATGCTATCAGAGGCGATTCTACGAATAAAATGAGGGGGTTGAATCCGTAAAAAGTACTTGATTGGCTTCTAAAAATCAAAAAAAAAAAAAAAAAAAAAAGAAAAGAAAAAAAAAAGTCCTCAAACTAAAATTTACCCAATTGGATTGTGTCAAATACCCGACTAAATTCTTAAAAAATACCGACTATAACTTGAAAATTACTTTTTTTTTTTGGAGGTGGAGGAGGAAGGATGAGGGGGGGGGGGAGGTGAAGGGGGTGGAACACCGGTGGAAACCGCTGTTCACTGTAATGTAAAGTTCTGAAACGTTATGTTTTTTTTAAATTAGGAAGTTAATTTATATTTGACGTCAAATATTTTTTACAAAAATACAGTTTTTAGTTTAATAAAGTATATATTTTTATTGTTAAGATAAAAATTTGTTACATGTCATAATAGTTAACAATAAATTAGACAACTGCAAAATCTTCATAAATTTGCTTAAATGCTGCATTTAAATGACGATTCGCTGATTCAAAAATGCATGTATTGCAATCGCATGTTGACAAATGATCCATTGGATAGCTTTAAATTGATTAATAATTCTGATGAAATTTACACAGTAACACAAAACCTTCACGCCGCTGAAAAGATAAGAGAAAGTCAACTTAAGCAAGAAAAAATTGACGAAATAATGAACCGAGTAGAAATTGCTTTAGAACATTCCAATATAAGATTTGAAGATAGTGCCATAAAAAAGGAAAACTTTTTTAGCATCGAAAGAGAAAAAAGTAAACAAGATGAGCGCCAAACTCTGTCAGAGATATTTGGATTTTTGGAAAACTCGAGAGTGTCAAGAAACGTAATAATAAACGATCTACGAAACTGGTTTGTGACGTTTCAAGAGGAAGTAAATCTGCTCAGTGAAAGTACGTTTGACGAAGAAGAAATAGCCGAAGAAAGCTTTGAAAAGCTTAACAAAGCTTTTAGAAATTCCATTTCAAAAATGAATCGTTTAAGTAAACTTATTCAAAATGGTATTTTTATGAAAGATAACAGAAATGCAGAAAACGAACTTTTAACCGAAACAACAATAGAAATATCAAAATCATCTAACTCTTTAGAGCATGGCACAATGGAGACGATCAAAGTCCCTAAAAAGATATATAATGAGAAAGAACTGACGTTTTCTAAAAACTTAGAAGTGGCTATAAAAACAATAAATGCCGTATTAGATAACGCTATTTCTACGTCGTCTACTAAGCACGCTAAAAATAACTTTACCTATTGTTCAAAACAATTTAACTACGTTTCTAGCCATTTGGAACAGAAAAAGAAACATAATGAAGAACTAGTAGAAAAATTGAAGTTGGCTACAGTCGAAGAATCCATTATTAATTCACTTCATGAACAGTCAAAAAAAGATTTGCTTCTAATAAATGATTTACAGAATGAAATTAACGACCATAAAGATAGAATCGATTCATTAGAAAACCAAATAAGATTATCTGATCGAAAAAATGTTATATCAGAATATAGACTAAGAAGTCCTCCAAATGTAGTATTGAATCAAACCGTTGGAGAAGAAACGTCTTTAAAAACAAAACCATCAAATAAACAACTTTCAGGTCAAACCACCACAAATAATGTGGTCGAAAATCGAATACCTGTGGTAGAAAATCGAATTACAGAAGAACCTCCATCTGCATCATATCAAAAATTACCGATTCCTTCAAGTACACCCTCAAAAAGTTTACAAAATACTAAAAACGTAAGTGAAAACATTACCAATCGGTCTACTTCAAATTTGTTAAAAAAAGAAATTGAAACACCTAAAGAAATATATAACGAAGAAAAAAAAACCGAATCAATCAGTAAAATAAAATCAGAACATGAAATGGAATTATTCAACAGTAAAACTAACATAGTTTTACATTCTAGTTCAAAATCAAACATAACTTTACTATCTAGTGCTTCTAAACAGAGAATAGAAAAAATAAATTCAAAACATCAAAATACACATAAGGATGAGAGTGAAAAAAAGCAAAAAGATTTAAAAAATAATATTCGTAAGCGTAAAAAGAAAACATTTGGACAAGCTAATGTAACATATATTTATTCCAACTCTAATGAGCATATAGATTTAATAAAAGAAAAGCACGACCAAAAATTATCTGCTGAGCAATTTGATCGCAATTTTATTAAGACTAAATTACAGTACGAAAAAAAGCTTCAAATATTAAGGAACTTTATCGTTAACGAACAGTATCGATTCGAAGTTCTTTTGCGAAAAACAAACTTAGAGCACAATGTTAAAATTGATCAATTAAAAAACGTCAACTCAAAGATAATTCAAGCACTCATTCATTTTCAGCACATTATTAATCGACTAACAGACTCTAGCGACGAGGATTATAAGATTTCATATGACGATACTTCAGATTTATTTCAATATGATCAAAGTATCGAATGCGAAACTAAAAATGGCCACGAATCTAAAACAGCCGTTGAAATTTTGGTGGATTTAGAACGCAAGATTTGTAATTTGATTTTAAAAAAAAATCAATCTGTCCAAAACGCCAATTCCGATAAACTGCAGTTTTCCAAAGATCTGCAGCATCATCGCTCGTACTTAAAACAAATAATCGAAGCATTTTCGGTACAACAAGAATTTGCAAAAGACGTTGAAATTAAAAATACAATGCTAAGTGAGGAATACAAAAAAGTACTTAAAGAACTGCTTAATTTAGAGAACACCTCTCATGTCTCAGAACCTTTACAACACATTAGTAATACAAGTTTTTATAAGATAACAAACGATTTAATTAATCAAAAAGACGCCAAACCAATTTTTGCGCAAGAAATACCGAGTCAATCATCACAAGAACTTAAATATAAAATGCTTGACTTTTTTGAAAACCATCAGATTGCAAATTCTGAAGCTAGCATTGCTTACGATATTGTCAATTATATACAAGATATAACTAACGAACAGTTTATAGAATTTGTCACCCAATACGTTTCGTTTACAAAAATTCAACAAATGAAGAGAGATATGAAAGATATAGATAAGTCTTTATTGTCAAATTTTGAAAACCACATAGAAAACTTGATAAAGAAGCACTCTGAAAAGTGTGCTGAATGGAAAATAAGACACTGTAAACTTCAAACAAGAAAGAAAACCGCATTATTACTGTTAACAAAATGGTTTCAGCAACTGAATAACACCAAATTCGATGTTCAATCGTTCCCTGTAATACATGTTAAGTCGATTATTGCTCATAGTCGCCAGACCGACGCAAACAGATGCGCTACTAAATCTTACCGCGAAGGTTTTAAAAACGTTATTGTGCGTTTAAATTGTCACAAAAAAAGAAAGCCCGAGGAGTTAGGTGAAATTATAGGAACGAGTTTGAATAACAACAAAGAACCCGATACGCTTTGGAAAATTCCTGATAAAAGTCTAGACCACCTAGTTCACGTTTACACTCCAAAAATACTGGAACTAGATTGCAATAAAAAAGTACTAACTAATAAAGAAGATCCTAGATGTAGTTTTCCAGCAATTGCGACGCTTTACCCGTGAACTGACACTGCTAATTATCTACAACAACTATCAGGTTGTTCAGCAAATTTTTCTATGTAAATTTAGTAATTACAAATTATTAGACGAAACTTCGTCACTCAAAAAATTGTGAGTATTTTATATAACAAGCCTAAAAAATCAGGAAGTTAGAAACATAAGTTTTATATAGGTCGTTACTTATACGTTAAAGTAATAACGACAATCCACTATTATCTGCATAAGGATGTTCTATAATAAAACCAGTCATACAAAACATATTTTTCTAGGTTATGCCCCAAACTTCTTCAAAACCAGAGCAAATTTTGGCACAAGTCAAAGCTGCTGATAACGGATATTCAGAGATAGCTATCTCCTCTTCACCGTAATTTACTTCTACCTAAGTACAACAAAAATAAAAACTTATTTTTTAAAACTATGCAAAGATCCTTAAATAAAAACTATACTATAACCTTTCCATGAGCCATTGCACCAATTACAATTACGACTGATTCATCTTTAGGAATATCTCGAACATTTACACATTTTTTAGCTTGGAAAGTGGCAACTGAAAGTAAAAATATAAAATGTTGCTAAAATATAAAAATATAAAAACTTTTGTAAAAGTAAATATTTTTAATTCTAGTGAGGGCTCTTAATATTAAGACTCTTAATATAATAGAATATATCTTTTATAATAGAATAATATAATAATACAATAGAATATATCTTTAATATAAAGACTCTTAAGGGGTCATCCATAAAGGACGTCACGCCAAGTTTAACTAATGGCAAGAAGTCTGAGAATGTTGGTTCTCGTGTGCAGAGATTTTTAGAATATTATAGAGCTTTATGTTCATTAAAAATCTCCGCGGAAATGAGCCAATAAACTTCTACTTGTGGTTAGTAATAAAATTCTGAATGACGTCCTTTATTGACGACCCCTAAAATTATTTTTTTCAATTTTTAAAAAATTGAATGAAAGATAAAAAAAAAAAAATAATAATAATAATTAAATTGAATAAAACAAATAGTGAGGGTTGCTATGTTAAGCCAAATAATTTTAACATTAGGAGCTAGGACCCATGACGTCAAACTTATTACAATCAAGAAAAAAAATGTATCGTAAATTTAAAAAAAATTTATGCTATACGAAAGAGATGTCATGCAAAACAAAAAATATGTTAAAACCATATACTGAAAACATTTCCTAAGACAAACCACTTTTAAGAATGTATAAAACACAGACCCAGAATTTACAGACTCGCATAAAAAGACTAAAAAAAAATGGTTCTTTCATTCTAGGTTTGCTACATATCAATGATGCATTTTGTTAAAAGAGTTGTCATTGATATCAATTTTCTATTAAAAGCAATTACAGCCCTCGGAATAAGGAAAATTAAGGTTGGTATTAATTTGCCGACCTTAATCAGTGTGGGGTCAACAGAATAAACGTAAAACAAAGGTTTGATCATAAAACATAGAAACGAGGCCGGCGATTTGTTGCTGACCTTAAACACTTCTAGGTCGGCCGTTTGGTCAGCTTTTCCGAATGCCAACCCTAATTCCAAGGGTTGCAATTATCTATTGTATACAATGAATAACAGTTTGTTATACGGGAATTTAAGTTGTTTCGTTTGCATATTTTTTCATTACGAATGTTTTATGCAACTTTTCTCAAAAAGCGAATGATTTTTTTGTTTTTTGTTTAATGAAGTTTATTAAGCATCATCATCTTGATATTTTGGAATTATATAAATAATACATAAGGTAAAAAAACTGATAGGAGAATTTTAAGCCTCTGCCTACCACAGATAAATACAAAATACTAGATCGTTATCAAAAGAAAAGCATTCAGTAGCATCTAACCACAATATGACAAGCAATACCCAGAGAGTAATCATTATTGACGGAATGGCGTTGGTAAACAGAGTTCACAAAGGTGCTGGAATAAAAATGTGGAAGGCAAACCCTTTTTATTCTAAAAGTAACATTATTAAAAAAAGACTTAATAAAATTATTAAAATAATACTTAATAAAACATTTAAACATAAAAGAATTATTTAAGATTTAAACATTAAAAGGAAGATTAGTCATTCTAATTTTTCTTTAGGACTTCGCCAAACATTTTGTTATATCACTATTGAGAATTGCAAACGGTTACAACGAAGTTAGACTTGTATTTGAATGCTGTCTTTTAAAACACGAACAAGATTATCAGTCTTTTAAAACACGAACACGAAGAAAATCAGTCTTTTAAAACACGAACAAGATTAAAGCGAAAATCTGGAAACAATATAAAATACAAGGTTTCTGATAAAGGAGATATTAGCAGTTTGTCATTAAAACATTTGTTATCTAATATAGAAACTAAGCACAACAACTTTAAACCTTTCAGAATATACTTATGATCAAAGAATATACTTTTCAATTATATATGAATTAAAAACAGCTACAAATATCTCCAGTCTTGATATTAAGTTGCTAAGAGAAGAAGTGGACACTCTTCTTGCACTCCTTGCTACTGATATTGCAAGACAAAATCCGTTTTTAAAATGCTGTTTTCTCCCCAGATACAGATGCACTTTAGTTGGCAATGGAAAAACGAAAAAAGTTATATTAGTATCAAGAATTGTTTTGAGGCACTTAGTTTCAAACGTTCAAACGTTTTACTTGTGTTAACAGGATGTGACCAGACCGGCCGCATCTATAAAAATCCAAACTAACATGGTGGAAGTCATTCATGATTGCGGATGACAAGATTCTGTATGCATTACCAATGTTAGACGATACTGAGTCATTGCCGAATCAAGTTACTTTTCAAGGTATTGAGCATTTAGTAATCAACACATTAGTAAATGACCCAGGTTGATATTTGACCAGGGCCGGGCCGGATTTGATAAAATATAGCTGGAGCCGGGTTTGCGACTGGGGCTGCATAAACATTTAAACATCCAAAAATCAGGGTTGCAAAAAAAATGTTTTTTTTTGAAAAAAACTAAAAACAATAGGTTTTTAAAAAAAAAAACAAAAAAAAAAAAACATGTTTTTTTTTGGTTTAAATTAGGTTTTTACTAAAAAATGTGGTATTTAGTTATCCTTTTAAATTAAAAAAAGCATAACGTATTTTATTTGAGTAAACTATATTCTTTATCAATAAACTGTTATATTTCATCAGAATTATTCAATATATCATTGTTTAATGTTCTATATAAAAATACAAGCTTTGCTGCTTTTTCTACCCCATTTGGTTTCTTAACTTAGACCAAAAGTTAAAAAAATTCTTTCGATTCCAGTATTAGAAGCTGGTGCATTTAATAAACTTTCAATATCCATTATGTTATAATCCACAATTTTTAGAGATTTCCACCATTCTATTGGTGATACACTTTTTAAAACAGATTCATTATACAAATAGCTTTTACAGAATGGAGTAGATTTGGCTTTTAAGTTGAATATTTTTGGTAACAAATTCTTGAACTCTTTATATGCGAAATTTTTGGCAACTTCATTTTCATTTTCAGAAAGATTAGATTCAAAATATCTAAGATCTAGTGTGTTTGCCAGGAAACGAGCATCACTGACAGTCTGAAGGTATCTAGATTCAATTTTTTTTTTCGTTTGATAAAAATGATACACTGTTCATCAAATTTTTTAAAATTTCAACAGTGTCACTTATTTTTGTTTGATCTTTTTGCAACTTATCTAGAGCTACTGCAATTAGTTTTAATATTTTCAATAAATCTTCTGTGTTTCGCTTTATCTGTATATCACTTACTTTTTTACCAATCATGGGATCCAAGTCTTTATTTTTTTCAAACATTATAAAAATGATGCTCCTGATGTTGACATTATTTCTCAAGTGAAACACATACAGAATTCTGGCGAGTTTCAGTAGGAAGTGGCAATTTTGTTCCTCTGCTCAATTTATAAATTGCTCCAGCTTGATGATTACTTCTTATATATTTTATTTGTGTAACATGCTTGCTCACATTTTCAATGTTAAGATCATTTGCTAAAAGATACTGCACATGAGCAGCACACCCATAAATTATGATAATATCTCTTTCAGATGACAATACTTGTCTCATTGATTTCATATTAGCTACACTGTCAGTCACAAAGCTTTTTACTGTGCATCCAAATTTACATCTTACAGAATCTATTATTTCTCTTTCTTTTACTTTATTATTCATTATTTACATTTACTCCCAACAAGGCTGCAAGCAACCACTATCAAGTTGGGAGTTACTAGGAAAAAAAAAGAACAGAGTTATAGAGCAAGGAAACGGTTGACAGAAGACTTGAAAAGTTGAAGGTTGTATGAGTCAGGAAAACATGAAGATGGGAGAGAGTTCCAAAGGATTGAAGTGCAGGGAAAAAAACTAAATGAATAAAAGTTTTTAGAGCATGCAGGGACAGATACAGTAAACGAATGAGACTTAGCTGAATGACGAGTAAAACGAGAATGAATTTTAATTGATGGAACTAGAGATAATAACTCCTTTGAGCAGTGACCATGATAGTATTTGTAGAAAAGAGAAAGAGATGCAACTTTACAACGATGGGAAAGAGGTTCAAGCTTAGCAGATAGTCCAGGTCCAACAACATTTACAATGCGTTTTTGGACCTTGTCAAGAAAAGAAAGTGAATCGTTAGAAGAACCAGCCCAAATATGACAACAGTATTCCATACAGGGACGAATAATAGATTTGTAGAGGTAGAGAATGAAATCAGAAGTAAGAAAACGGCGAGCACGATAAAGAGAAGCAACCTTAGCAGAAGCTAATTTAGCAATCGATTGTATATATGGTTTCCATGAAAGGTCAGTAGTAAGCGATAATCCAAGAAGACGTAAAGAGGACGACTCAGTAAGAGGATTGCCATTCATTAATATAGGAATGTTGACCATATTAAGGTAGTTGTTTGCAGTAAGCAACTGGGTTTTTTTAGAGTTGAAATTCACAAGCCACTGTGAACCCCAATCTATTACTGAAGTGAGATCGGATTCAAGATCAGCTGCTTGTTCTAGGCGATCAAAAAGAGAAGACTTTTTGTCAAGACAGGAGTATAAAGTTGAGTCATCAGCAAAAAGAGCTACTTTAGATGAAAGGTTGTCAGGAAGATCGTTTATGTAGATAAGAAACAAAACAGGGCCCAGGATGGAACCTTGGGGAACCCCAGAAGTTACTGGAAATAAAGAAGAGTGTTGGCCTTCAAGAATGACTTTAATAAACCGGTTAGAAAGAAATGATTTGATAATCTCAAAAACTTTCCCAGAAACACCATATGAAGCAAGCTTATGGAGAAGACCAGCATGCCAAACTTTGTCGAACTTTCTCTTGCTAATTGTGTGAGATATTCACCAGTATGTGAATGACCAGAAGTGTTGATTGTTTCTACTAAAATGTTAATTTTATCTGTAATTACAGAGATACAAACTATAGGTTCATTATGTACATTACTACAGCCATCTAAAGACATGGCTACAGTTTTCCCATTCAATACATTACATTTTTCAATTTCTTCTGTGAAGAAATTGAAAAATGTAATGAAGTTGTTGATCTT